AATATTACTTTTTATAATATATATATTATTAAAAATGATATTGGCTTATTATAAAATATTTTATTTTATTTTATTTTATTTGGAGAATCAATATTGACATGCCACTTAAGTTGGAAAGAATATTAGAATGTGAGAAAGCATTATTACTATGAATTTATAAAATAAGCAAAGGTGGATATGCATTATAATTAATTCAGATAATATTAACTTTATTTAATTAAAAAGGAAGGGGAAGTAATGATTTGCTTTTAGTGGTTTTCTCACACTCTCACTCAAATCCAAAGGAAAGCTGAATGGAGATTTTTATATTATTTGGAGATTTTGCTTTCTTTTGTCGGTCATTAAAGGAGCACCGCATTCTGATAAAGGGTTTAAGAGATTTTTATTGTTAAAACAAAATAATTTATATTTCTTACAAAATAATTCATAGATAAGCTTATAATGTCAATAAAATTTATCAAATTATTACAAAAAAAAACCTCTTATTTAATGTATAATTTTGTTATTTTCAACGTACTAAAATACATATATTTTACATTAGTTGGAAGTCTTTAATAGGAAAACCCAAAAAGAACAAAACAGAATCCTATTCCAAATTTAGTGGGAGACCAAATGTTTTATGATTACCTTTTTTTTACTTAATCCAAAGTTAGAAACTTAAAATTTTCATTAAATGGATTAAACACTTTTAAGTAAATTAAGCAAAACTTAAATCAAAATTAAGAATTTGTTTGGAACAACTTTCTTACTGTTTCTTAAAACAACTTTTTTTTACAAAAAGTTTAATTTTTTAATTAAAAAATGTTTTAAGAAACAGTAAGAAAGCTGTCCCAAACAACTCCTAAAACTCATAGGCGAGCTTAGTGATTCTCAAGCACCCTTTTTAAATGAAGGGCCCATTTAAAAAAGATTTGATCTTTCATAATCATAAAAATAACTAAGCAAAGTGTTCACTTTTATAAGTTTTATCAACAATCATATACTTTATAAGTTTTATCAACAATCAAATTATTTTCATAAAACAGTCTCTTTTAAGTTACTCTCCGAATAATTGTAGTAATGAAATGGTTTACCAGATCCAGCTGACAATTAGCTCTGTAAGAAGTTCCATTAATGGAACATAAAGCTGTGATCTTTCTGTGAGCAGGGATCTCGCCGGACTCCAAGCTCGAGCTGGACAAAACCAACGCCGACGAAGGCGGCCAGTACAACGCCGTCAGAGATCAACTGATATCCGCCTACGACCACCACATCGCCTCCAGGCTAAAAGTAGAGCTCTTCAACGCAGAGACCATCAACTGCATAACCCATAATCCACATTCAGGTATCAGAAAAGCAGCCAAAGAAGAGCAATGGACAACAACATGGTTCGAACAGTTCACCGTTCTGCTCCGCCGTAGCCTCAAGGAACGCCGCCATGAAGCCTTCAACAAGCTCCGCATCTTCCAAGTCCTCAGCGTCGCCATTCTCGGTGGCCTCCTTTGGTGGCAAACTCCTCCTTCCCATCTCCAAGACAAAGTAACTAATCACTCCTCTGCTTCTTTTGCTCTTAAAATAGCTTTAATCCCCATAACTAACGAGTCAAATTTCAACCAGACGGCTCTCATCTTCTTCTTCTCGGTATTCTGGGGTTTCTTTCCTCTCTACAACGCTGTCTTCACCTTCCCACAGGAACGCGCAATGCTGCTCAAAGAGAGAGCATCAGGGATGTATCGGTTGTCATCTTACTTCATGGCTCGAACGGTCGGTGATCTCCCAATGGAGCTTGCCCTTCCGACGGCCTTCACCTTCATCTTCTACTGGATGGGCGGGCTCGACCCGCGGCCGGCTTCCTTCCTCCTCTCCCTTCTCGTTGTTCTTTACAGTGTTCTGGTAGCTCAGAGCCTTGGCTTAGCATTTGGTGCTATACTCATGGAAGTCAAGCAGGCGACCACACTTGCTTCAGTCACAACTCTAACTTTCCTAATCGCAGGGGGATACTATGTTCAGCATATTCCTCCATTTATAGTCTGGCTCAAGTACCTTAGCTATAGCTTCTACTGCTTCAAGCTTCTTGTTGGTGTCCAGTTCAGGCCTAATGATACCTATGAGTGCTCTAATGGACTGAGGTGCTCTGTGTTGGATTTCCCTGCCATTAAATCAGTTGGATTAGATCTTTTATGGTTGGATGTTCTAATCATGGGATTGATGCTTGTTGGCTATCGGTTTATTGCTTACTGGGCACTTCATAAATTGCAGAGGCCAAGGTAGGAAGATCAAGAAGGCAGGGCCTTAATTTCTCAGATAGAAAAAATGACCAAGGCTTCGTTTGGGCGGCTTTCTTACTGCTTCTTAAAGCAATTTTTAATTACAAAATTTTAAATTTTTGTATTAAAAAGCTGCTTTAAGAAGAAGAAAAAAGCTGTCCTAAATGAAGTCTATATCAGAGTAAAACACATGAATTGACTTTCGTAATATATAATAGTAAGTCAGCCAAATCTCCAAGTGTTTGACTCAACTAATAATAATTAACCTCTCTTAGGTTATAGAGAACTGTTGCTGTTCACAGGAGCAATAATCTTTCTTATTGCCTCCAATTATCAGCTAAGGAGATGTATCACTTGCTGCAGAGATTTAGAGCAAATCACAACAAGTATATAATTAAGAATATGGCAGTTTCATAAATAAATTTTGGCTTCTTTGATGTCTGTGTGGGTCAAGAGATGTGGCAATCAGATATTTGAAAATGGATTCAGATTTACAATGATGAGGAAGAAGACCGTTATAAAGTTACAAGAAGGTGGAATGTTTGTGAAAATAGATTACTTGAGATGAGCTGAGTCGAAACAATGAGAATATAAAATATTATATCTTCCTAATTGCGAGAAGTTTTTCTGTTTTGCAATAATAGCTTTTCTCTTTGCCAAATAATAAACCTTTTTTTTTTTTGCTGTCTTACAAAATATAAGAAATTTTGGCTTTTTTGTTCATGGGGAAAAAATTAAGAGATAAAACGACCTTGCCTGTATAGATGTTGTCTTTGAGATCTGAGTTCAGTTCTTGTTCTTAAGCTCGCTGAAGGCTAGAGACTTGATCTGATGGATCCTCTCTGGTAATGACTAAGGCTTCATTTGGGACGGCTTTTTTATTGCTTTCTGTAATGGAGTTTTAATACAAATTTTTTTTATTTTTGTACCAAAACTCCGTTTTAGGAAGCAATGAAAAAGCCGTCCCAAACGAAGCCTTCGTTTGGGACGGCTTTCTTATTGCTTCTTAAAGCAGCTTTCTAGTATAATATTTTTTATTATTGAACTAAAAAACTGCTTTAAGAAGCAGGAAGAAAGCCGTCCCAAACGAAGCCTAACATCTCTCCCATATCTTGTAATATCTTGTGCCTCTCATGCTCCAACCCACGATTGCAGAACCTGATTCTCCCATGGAATTAAGCTATCAGGTCCTGTTAGTGAATTACTTAATGATTATATATATCAGTTCTAGCAAACAGGAAAATTCTCAAGAGATGTAATCAGAGACTATGAAGAAAAAATGTTATGTTGAGAAAGAAAAAAAAAAACAAAAAATCATAAGATCTAAAAAGCAGGTATTTCACATGATTTGAACCGCAGGGATCACTATATAGTTCAGGAATCACAATACATCCAGTAAACACAAAAAGTTATGGTGTTCAATGAAGATTAGAAAATATCATATTTACTGATTACCGTCAAGATATTCTCATAGATTATACTGCATAATATTATTCCATATCATCTGTTTCTATATCTACATTACATAAACAACAAAATAATCTTCATCATGGAGTAAACCTTCAATAGGAACCAAGCTCCACAAATCTCAACAAGAGAGAACACACTAATTCCTAAATCTAGGAAGAACTTAGGGGGAGAATGGTTTCAGGACAAACAGAAGGCGCTGCCTTTGCTATTTCCTCATTCTTGGCATGTTTTCAACTCACTATAGAGATGCTTTGTTGCCTCCCATACTTGATAAATTGCTTAAATCACGAGGAACTATACAGTTCCCAATAAAATGAAGAACAGGGAAAAAACAAAGGGAAGTATAAATGTATAGGAACGGTGGATTTTTGCTCTAAGAAACAACACAAAGCTAATGCCTCCAAAGCTAATTAGGAAATTCAATATTTATGCACTCTGGACGTGCAGAAGTGATCTTTATCTCTGTGTCAAGTTGTCAAAAGAATTATAAGAGACAGCATGGAAGAATTGAATAACCTGATGAACAACCACTTGCCGAGCGGAATCACTCAAGAATGTTATTTAGTCTGATTCAAACTGTTGCATTAAAAAAATATAGCATGAGGGAGTAAGAACAACATGTGAATGAGCAGGAACAACAAATGGAAAAAGAAAAACAGTTCAGACAAAATAGCCCAGCTTGCAAAGAGGAGGATAAATATTTGAATTACAAAAATAATACTAATAATAATAATAATAATAATATCCCAAAAATGTTTACGAATAACCAGAACAAGCATTCATTTGCTAGTCATAAAAGTTTTTCTATTTTACCTTCTACAAAAAATAATCTAGAAGAAGAATATACTTTCTCATGCGCAAAGAGAATTTTTGGCCTCCTAATGTTCAATGTACTTGCAGTTCAACCTCAGGTCCAAGATGACACCGAGAGGGAATCGAGAAAAGAGTTTAAGAACACTTGCAAGAAAAAGATTTTAGCTGCAACAACTTTGGACAGTGTAGGTCTCCGTAGGCATGAAGCCTGTTGGCATCTTATCTGCTGCTTTTATATTTCCAAAATCCACTGAGGTGTATTGAGATAAATCTATAAGAAAATTAATGCGAAGATGACTAGAGAATCATTTTGAAAACATTAATAAGGAAATAGAATAAGTGAATTCATGTGTTATGAACAATTTTTGCTAAGCAGATATAATACAGTGCTCTTCAAGCAAAGCCTACAAATTACGTAATGAATTGTATTTTAAGAATTTAAAAAAGTGTAATTTGATCATTTTATAGATGTGGAAGATGAGATTAGAGGGAATTGCCTTAGATAGGTTGGTCATATAAAACGGCGGCCTTCTGATGACCCGGTTAGAAGAGTAGATGTATTAGATTTGGCTTATGTTAAGAAAGGTAGAAGTAGACCTAAAAAAACTTTGCAAGAGATTAGAAATTGATCTTTCTTTATTAGATTTAAATAAGAATTTGACTCTTAATAGGGCACAATGGAGATAAAAATTTCATGTAGCTAACCCCACAGTGGGGTAAAGGCTGGATGTTGTTGGCATTGTTGTTTATATGTTGGCATGAGTAAATCAATTTCGAGGTCAAAATCATTATCTCAGTCCCTTCTTTGCTTTATGAAATCTAAATCAGATATAAAATAATGAAGAAATAAGTTAATAAGAGACCTATCATGAAATCCTTTTCAGCAAAAATTGGGTACATAAAAGCTTAAGAAATTTGACTTGTAGACTTAAGATAAAATATTGATGGGTCCCTTTAAAAAATATATGCTTTAATCCCAGTTGTCCAATCAAGCATATCAAAACTTGCTTTTGTGACCAAAATGAGCATATGGGCAATGCATCTTCTCACATCATCATCAAATTATATCATGATACATCAAGTTACTTCCATTCAAATCATAGAAATGGATCTCAGGGCCATCAACAAAGAACCAATGGTCGGATTTGAATCTTTGGCTACTCCAATCTTGAGCTAAAAGCCCACCCCTCCGATCGACCCATTTATTATTCCTAAGGCCATAATGGCCTAAAATGGATCATGAGAAAGGCATGGCGTCGTTTTGTACCATCTGATTACTCAAAGGAAGAAAGAGTTCCTAACTAAGGCGCATTTTAATCCGACATAAATATTAAAGGCAAGATAGTCAATAATTCATCAATTAATCTGTCGAAACACCTAAATACCCTTTCTCCTACCACTACAAATACCTACAAGTCGGTAGATAATCTCCAACTCTTTTCTCCATTTATTCCATTAACTTAAGCAAAAAACAATTTCCGCGGATGCAATTGCTTGTGTTCATGCATGTATTGAGCCCATCCTAAAGATACCATCGCTTAATAACATTGATTGGCCCAATATGATTTTTGGCGCACAATTGTTTGGCAATACTTATAAAAAGATTCACACACTTCATAATAGGATTCCTTATAACACCATCAATCACTCCCCACTCAAATTGAATGATAAACCCTCAACGTCAGTAGCAAGCAAGCAAAATAACATAAGGGTCATTTTTCGAGGCTCGAAAGCAATGTCCTGTCATAGACACTAATCTTAGCATCAAACTGATAATACAGCGCCATCGCCCCAAGAAAACCAATGGAGTTTAGGGAGTTGGGTGAGCAATGTGAGGCAACTAGGCATTAGAAAGGGGAGCAGAAGTGAGGGGCCACAGATACCTTCTAATTCTATGTTGGAAGAAAGCATTCTTATTATATTATTAACTAAGAGTAGGTGACTGTATATAGGCATACCAAACAAGTACACAAAAAAAAAGGAAGTAGATCTAATAGATCTAGTACTTTTCAAAAATTGAACTTTCCAAACTAATAATAATAATGTTCTCATGAAAGAAAGCATCATTTGCTAGCTTATAAACAGGAGTTGTTGAATCCAAAATCCAAAATTTGTTAGCCCTCAAATCTAATAATTTGAGCTAGCCCTAATAAATCTACAATGCTAAACCCGAGATTGGGGAAACACAGACAAACCAAAAGATAAATTAGCATGACTAAGTCAATCCAATTAGACTGAGCCAAGTGTTGGCGAGCTTCCATATTACTAATTAGAACTATTCAATATGTATAAAGTATACGCCAAGATTTCTCGTTTTGGATATCTTTTGTAAGCATCTTAATAATGAATTAAAAAAGCTATGAAACTATTATTGATCATTGATGTAAGCCTAGTGATGATTATAAACATCTCGGTTAATCCACTAGTACTATTAGTACTATTCAGTATTTTATCATGCATATCTATAAAAAATTTCAATATAATTTGACACAATTTTTTTCCTTGATGTGCATCAAATTAATTCCCATAATACTCAACCACATGTCCCCTCAAAATTAATAAAAACGAGATGGATATCCTTCCTTTACTTTTTATACAACTTAGTTAATAACCATTGGCAAGAATCATGTTCATAAAGGATCTTTTCGGCAAAAAAATTAAATGGATTCCAATATATGGGCATAACTTTTTATCCGCATCCATTACCTTCTCCAATAAACATATTAAACAGCTCCTAAATTTCCATTATCTTCTTCAATAAACATATTGAACAGCTCCTATATATGATTCCTTTTTAGTTGTCACAATCATAAGCATCTCTTTTGTTCTTAAATAATGATATCAAAATATTCCTTCTCTAATCATTTGATATCAACTTCACCGTCATCATTGTTAGCCTTACCCCCCAATGCTTTATGAATCCTCATTTTTCACTCATTCTGGTTAATGGTTACCAAATGAATTATCCTTCGTTTTTACAATTTTTATCCAAATTAACTTAGGTATAACTTTTTTCCCTCTTAATCCTACAACATTAATTTTTATTACATGTTTAATGGGTGCATTTTCAACTATTTGTTATACACTATAAACCTCATAAATCTAATTTGAATTATATTTTATTCAAAAATTATCACTCCCAATATTTCTCTAATATAATTATTACTTAATTTATTATTCCTAATTTTGTCACACATTTATCTTAGCATTCTCATTTTCAACATATTTAACTACCAACAATTTTTTTACTGTCCAACACTTTTATTCTTAAAATATAATTAGCATAATTATAATTTTATAAAATTTACCTTTTAAGTCACCATACTATACTATTAGTCCATCATACTCTAAAGGCACGACTCCATTTTAACTGCCCAATCATAATTCAAAAAGTTATATTCTT